TTTTTTTTAGATAAGATCATTTTCGTAAGATATTTGCACTTTAAGTTTGCATTGTGAATGAAAAAAATTGCAAACTTTAACAAGGAAAAAGAAAAAAAGATTCTTTGTAAATTCTTTTACTGATTAACAGGGAACGGATTTTTAGGACCTAAAAAACCTATAAAAAAGGCAAAATAAAATAACGAAATAGGCTGGAAAAGGCAAAATGAAATAGCGAAAAAGGCAGGAAATGGCACTAGGTATTGCAAAAAAAGCAAAAAAAGGCAAAACGAAATAGCGAACAAGGCAGGAAAAAGCACTAGGTATTGCAAAAAAAGCAAAATAAGGCACTAAAAAAGACAGAAAATACGAAGAACAATCAAAAAATACATTTATTTTAGAAATTTTTAAATTACAAGTAAAAAGGTAAAAACTATGAAATAGTTTTATTATATGAAAAATTTGTACTTTGAATCTTTGACTATTTTATCCTTTCGAATTTCTAACTCATAAAACTTAAATTTGTATAGTTGTAGTAACATTGAACCACAAAATACATTTTGAAGTTCTCTGGCAGCATTTTCGTTCGATTTTCGCGAAGAAAAGCCTTGAATGTACTAAATGTGCGCTCGACGTAAGCTGATACAAGTGGAGCCCAATTGAAATATGGAACGTTTGAAATGTTCATATTATCAGGAATAAGGGCGTTTTCCCCGCCCTCTACAATTTTATCCACACCCCTTATTGTCTTCAGCCTACGTTAGCGGAGAAAACGGCTTTGAATTTTTCCGTCCCTGCGCTTCTATAAGCCGCATGGGCATGTGTATATTTTTTAATCTTAAAAAAAAATTGTATATGCTAAATATAATCACTTTTTTAAAGGTAGAAAAGGCAAAAAAGGCAAATATCTTGAAAAAGGCAAAAAAAGGCAAATATCTTAATAAAGGCAAAAAAAGGCAACATCAAATGTGTATATATGGAATCAGGGAAAGCTAAATCGTGGACATTCTTAATCGAATATACTCTATCTCTTTAGCAGAAAAAAAGGAAATTGCCATAAAATCCGTTCCCTGCTGATTAATAATGTTGTAAATGTTCACATGACAATGCGTATTAATTTCTTTAGAAATCGCGAGCCTAAAGTGAGAACTTGCTGAGTCCTCTTTTAAAAATCTTACATTTTGCGTGTTTAAAGTAAAGCAAAACTTCATTAGAATCAGAAGGATTCGATCATTATTAAAAGATTCGTATTAGTTTTGCCTTATCGGATTTTCACCGTCTATTTTGGACGGTATGCAGGGTCGTAATCTAAATTACGTAAAATTAAGTTTACGTGTTTTGGCGTTTTTTTGTGTCATTTCAAAACTTGACATTATCATTACAATGTAATCAGAGACCTTAAGAACCCCCAATTGTAAGGTTTTAAGCGAATCGAATCGATTTTGATTTTTTTGTCACCCATATTGGGTCCGCCATTTTATTTTTTCCAATCTGACTTCAAATTCTTAGTCAGCGACCCATATTTGATCCGTCATTTGAATACCAAAATTCCGATGCTATATTCGAGAGCAGTGGCCCAAAAAAACCTCAGAATCCGTCTTGACCTAATAACTGACAACTGTTTCAACAAACTAAATAAGTAATTTATTTACGCATTTACGGACACGTGATGTTTTCTAAGAGTCGCAGCATTAACATAACACATAAATTTTCCCACGTTTTATTTCAATGCCGGCCACACAAATACTAAAGCTTCTGCATAAGTGTACGTGTCAAGCGTGTGAGAAGCGAAACCATACCCCGCAGAAAAAAATTATGAATTTATAAAAACTAACCTACTTGTAGTTAGTTTTTTTGCGGGGTTTCTATAAAATATATAACTTGCAGTTAGCCACAAAAAGCTGACTTGAAAATAGTTGACAAGTAATGCAGGAGTAATGAACGAGATTGTTTTCTTTAAACGCGTTTCTATTTAAATATCTTTAACTTCGCAAATACTTTTTCGAATTGGGGACAAATAAAGCGAAGATCGAAATTTCATATTATCTTTTTGAAGTTATGTCTGACGGAGTTCGAATATGGGACCACCTACAGCAAAATATGAAAACAAATATGAAATGTAATAAAATAAATAGAGTAAATAAAAATAAAAATAAAATATTCTGTTCTTCCCATGGGCTTTATTTCCCAAAAGAAGAGAATAAAGCCCATGGGCGTTATTTCCATTTCGAAGGGGAAATAGCGGCCACCAATAAAAGGCAATGAAGCCCGCGGGCTTTGTTTATTCTTTTAATTCCCTGAACCGCTCCTGTTATGATATGCCACTTCTTTCAATTTAGTAGTTTACAAATATACACGTATTCTTCTACAATCAGGGTACGAAAATAAACTGTACAAAACAATTCCCATTTGCTCATCGATCATCATATCATTTGTGGTTTTGTGCAGATTTGTACATAGTCAGAAACAAATTGTGGGATTCACTGTCATTTTCCCCAACGAGAAACGTTTGCTTTTCGTTTGTGACAATTGTACCATAGGGTACGTTTTATATGTATGCAAACGTTTCAATTACGTGAAAAAATATATTTCTCTGTAAATTTTCATATCCAATTCAATTAAAAAACATTTTTATACCCGAGTGCACTTGTGCACAAGGGTATTATAACCTTGTTCACATAACGGTTGTTTGTAACAGGAAAACGAATCGAGATAGATATCGACAAATATATAAGTAAATGATCAGAATGAAAAGAGAAATCGATTAAGCGGTGACTGTCTGCCCGTCCGTCCGTCCGTCTGTGCACACGATAACTCGAGTAAAAATTGAGATATCTTAACGAAACTTGGTACGTACACTTCTTTCGGGCGTAGGACGGATGGTATTGAAAATGGGCAAAATCGGACAATAACCACGCCTACCTCCCATATAATGGTAATTTTCAGAAATCCGAAAACTGCGATATTTTAGTAACAGCTAAAAATAATTCACTCAAAATTGATATTTACAATAATTTTTATACGAAAAATAAGAATATTATAAATTTTTGGAAAATGGGCGTAGCCACGCCCACTTATGGTGACATGTGTATATCTTGGTACTTTTCCAAACTTGGCACAGTTGTTGGCCTTGGTACAGCATACCAAACAGCCGAAAATTTTTAAAATCGGACTATAACCACGCCCACATCCCATATAACGGTAATTTAGAGAAATACGAAATCTTCGATAAATCAGTAAATATTAAAGCTAATTTATTCAAAATTGATGCTTGCAGCAATTCTTTACCAAGAAATACGTTTATAATAAGATTTTGGAAAATGGGCGTGGCACCGCCCACTTATGATCACATATATGTACATATATCGGTAACCGTTCTACCAATTTGTACCAAACTCGGTATGGTTATTGTACTGAAATTGTATTTACTGAAAATTGATACACCCCGGCTTACCATGTAGCGGTAGCTTTCGGAAATGTGAAAAACATATTTTTAATACTTGCGCCGGGTATCTAATGTTCGGCTCCGCCCGAACTTAGACGTTCTTGTTATTTTTTTTATTCATTGCAGCCATTCGTTTTGTATTTAGTTATTGCATATATGTACATACATATGTACATATATTTTTCTTTGCACGATTCATTTCGTTCGTTGTTTCGT